GGGAGAGAAAGGGTGGAGTGTACATGTAGTTGAGGTATTTTGGATCATTTGTTTTTTGAGGACCTACCAGGGTGTCAGGACGCGCGTGTTTCATTTAGCCCACAGGATTCAGCGACAAGCAAAAAAAAAAAAAAACTAAAAAAAAAAAAAAAAAAAAAAAAAAAAAAAAAAAAAATTCAAGACAGAGATGTGGAATTGGGAGCGGATTCGGGAAATGGGAATGAGAATGGGAAACGGATACTAGGAACGGGCTGAACTGGGGAATCGGAACTGGAATGAGAATGACCATTATCACTCTTGATGCCTTTCTGTCTCTTCTCTTTTTTTCAATGACGATTTTGATTTTGTCGGTCTTTTTGCTCTACGGCATTCAATAGCCCCGACCCGGGTGCCTTTTACGTGTCTGCTCCTTTCCTCTCACCTCACCTCTCTCTGTCTTTCGTCGTCGTCGACGACGACGTCGCTATCGTTGTAGAGATATCATCCTTTACCCCCTCCCTCTCTCCGTTTCTCTCGCTCCAGACCTCCTGTTTTACCTCACAAAAGCCAAGCCAAACCAATCATTCTTCTTCCATCCACTCCGCCTCGAGAAAGTCGATGAACCCCTCGACGATCTGCCTGCGTCCACTGACGTAGCCCTGTCCGTGCGCGATACCCCCTCTTTGGATCTGTGTGTATTTCCGCCGGAGGCGCTGGAGCATGGGCTGCGAGAGGACGACGCCGGGAGGGATGTGGATGGCTCGTTCGACGGCTGTTGTCTTGGGCGACTCGGCGGGAGTGGTGGGTTCCGCTGGGTGGCTAGGGGGTGAGAGGGGAAGAGGGATGGGGATGGAGAGGAGCACGTCGCCGCCATCATGACCTGCGTGGGCGGAGAGATTCTGTTCCCGTGCCTGTGCGAGCAGGTTCTTGACCACGTCCATGGTGGCCGACTCGAGGGTTTGCAGGGCATCCGAGGCTGTGGCGCGCGGGAGAACCGTGGCCGCGTGCGGTTTCACCACTTCCGACTTTTCACGCATGGGTGGGGGCTGTGTTACGGATGAGAGGGATACAACGGCCGCGTTCCCATTCCCATCCCTGTCCCCATGACCCGCCGCTGTTCCAGCTCTTTCAGATGAACGAAGTTGACTCAACGCCTTTTTGCTGGTCGGCTTTGTCGGCGGGGGGTAGATTGCGTTCCAGATTTCCTGGATCGGAGGCGAAGCGTCGGACGAAGGGACGGTAAAGAGAGGTGTGTCCCAGCGGGAGAAAGGGGACGGGGGTTCGTAGCGCATCATTAGGGAGGTGAGAGTTGACGACGAGTATGGAGGAGAGGACGTCGGCGGTGGGATTGGGATTGATGGCGCATAAGGCGTCGGCAAGGGTGGGTTCTCTCGTCCTGGTTTCGGTACCGTCGACGATGACGAGGGCGAGCTTGCGTCCGGCGGTCCGCCGATGTACAAGGACTTGAGAGTCATCGTGTCGTCTGGTAACGGTCGAGGCATTGCATCCCCGCTGTCGCCATTGTCCAGCCCGTCCATCGAGGAAGACCGAGACCGGGACGTCGCGTGCTCCAGCACCCGATCACCGTAGATGGCGGTATGACTTTCTGGAACCAGATCGCCCAAGACACTTTCGCCCTGATTGTGCTGCGGATGCTTGTGCTTATCCTTGTCCAACACATTCCCATCTTCTCCTCTGCCACCACCATCCTCAGCGTCCAGCTTCCCGTGCTGCGCTCTCAACCTCTCCCGATTCCACCTCTTGCACTCATCCTCCTGCGCCGCCACATGGATAACGCAACATCTCGTGCCCACGGCCTTGGCCTCGCACCACAACTGGTATCTATAGCCCTTGATGTAATTCAACCCGTCGGCGATCACGACATTGTCCTTTGAAAGCGCTCGCTTGATCGCGGAGAACTCTTCCGCCCTCGCGGTCTTTTCGTGGGAGGCGTTGTTGTAGATCTGATCTCGAAGGAGTGTCGTCTGTTCTATAGACTCCGTACCGTCACGGTCGTCGTCCGACGATGCGTGGTATGAAGGGACAATCTGGACGGTCCTTTTTGATATTGATGGTTCGTTGGCAGGAGGAGGGGTGACGAAGGCCGCCAGCGACGCAGCGATTTGCTGGGCGCGGTACGTTTTGCCCGAGCAAGGAAGGCCTGTGATGATGATGAGCTACGGGGGAAAAGTCAATCGTCGTGAAGAGGACAGTCTAGGTGCAAGGATCTTGTAACTCACCGGCATAACGCAGTGCAGGCGATAGAAGGTTGGTACAGACTCGAGTAGAAATTTTGATTTTTGGTTTATGGCGGGGGTTTCTGGGAGAGCCGCGGGAGTTGCCAGCGTTGGTGGGCAGGCGGGCTACACAATTGAGAGGTTCAAAAGGACCAAGTCAAAGAACTTTTACACTCAAGGTGTCATATTTTGCTATCTCTGAGGGAAAAGCCCCGAAAAGTCCTGAAAGTAGCTACATAGTTGTGCGTACAGTACATTCACAGCGATTAGTACTGACACTGCTGTCATGATGTCTCTATTTACCCAATTCCCTCCACCCTCGCTGAATGTCTCTAGACCAATGGTGTAAGATTGCATAGGCATCAACCATTCTCCGGTCGATTGTTTGAACATATCGTAGAATTTGTCACAAAAAGCATATTGGCCTATCCTGGAAATGAGTCCTGGGGGAAAACTCCTTGGTAGATGTGTTGGCCAGTCCTGGGAATATAAACAACAACCTCCGGGATTCACGACCCCGTCTCGGAAGAGAATTTGTCCTGTGGTTTGGTCGCACCCGGCTGAAGAAATATAGGATGGAAACAGGTAGCCTGACATTTTGGTAGGGAGGTTCTGGCTGCATTCATCCCATGGCAGCACTGTTGTTCTGTTTCACCTCTGGCATTGCTGCTCTGCAATACAGCGGTGGGCTGGCTCCATGGTTGGTCTCATGCAAGTTCAGAAGAAGAGTGATGAAAAGGTCCAGCATTCTTTAGGTGGTAGGTTGCACAGGGTATATATCGCTTCATTGATTGAGTTAAGGACGGACAAAGGAAAGAAACTCATGAAGGATAGATCCCGGAGTAGGGTGGTGACACCCGGCACGTCCTGGAGATGGCGGTTGTGGGCGAGAATTGGACATCATCCATCGACACTGTTTGTGGCATCATTGCATCATAATCCTGGGTCTGAATGGTGTATGCGCCTGGAGCGACGTACTGCGCCCGGGTAATAGCCTGGCCATAGTTCTGAGTCTGAATGGCAGCGTTGGCCATCGCGTGGACCTTGGACAAGGTGGACGAGTTGGACCTCCTCATGGGGACAGATGTCGGCTTCTTCCTCTTGTTCTGGCTTTGAGTAGCTGAGCTCTTCTTGGGGAGAGGCTCGGGTTCTTCGTGTTGGTGGACTCGTTTCATATGGTCACGCTGGTTCCATCTTCGAGGAAATCCATTGCCCTCTCGAGCACGGTCACAGTCCGGGAATTTGCACAGGTAGGGGTTCACTCCGTGGTTGTGTTCTCCATGGGCCTCTCGTTCGTGCCTAAGGAGGCATGCATTAGAAGAGAACCGGAGGTCCTCGCATTCCGGGCGATCCGTAAAACGACAGCGGTACGGCCTCAAATGGGAGTCCACGTATTTGCTGGATGAAGCAGAGAGTATTAGAACGACATCAGCTTGCGGGTGGCACAGGTTTGACCTACTTGTAGATGCATTTTTGTTTGGTGGGTTGGTGATTGCACTTGAGCTTCTCAAACATGGGGCAATGATAGTGTCCGCTTTTGTCGGGCCGGGCTTCATAGAGTGGTCCACTTCTGGCTTTTTCTCGGTCCGATTGTTCCTCTTTGGGGCTCCGGGTCTCAGCAGGCAGGATACACGAAACACTTTGGTCAATCACGCCATTCCGCTCTGATGCAGATCGAATAGGCCTGGGTCGAAATACATTGCGTCCTTTGAGGCTGTTGATGACAACTTGTGTTAGTAGGGGGACGAGGTGCGGGTAGGGAGAAGGGGGAATCTGACCTATCTGGTAGCGCCTTCGACACGGTATTGATCCCGTAGAGAGCGCAGTCCTGGGCATCCGGGCATAGCTTCTCCTGGGCAGACAGGCAATCCCGGACATAATCCTCTGGAGGGGGTGTTGGCAGTCTCTGAACGGAGAAACTCTGTGAGCTATAGTTGTTCACCATTCCTTGATGGTAAAGTGACGAAGTATCCATGGACATATATCCGGAAATCATCAGATCCTCTGGCTGGTCTTGTCCTGGGTATTGCGAAGATTGCACGAGGTTCAAGTCTGCAGAATTGTCGCCCGAGAAAGCATCCTCTGTCAGGAACTCAGATGTTGGATCGGCGTCAAAGCCGCCCAAGCTCGACATCACGGGTACGACGAACGCACCGTCAGATGCGGTCATGGAAGCATAGGTCATTGCAGAAGACGCTGACAAGAAGAAGTCATCACTGTGAGGGTATTGTCCTGAGGGATAGACGCTCGGTGCGGTCCCGTAACACCGACGTGATCCAGGGGACGTAGAAGTCAAAGAAAAGTGTGCGTTGGACATTCCGCCGGCCATGGAGGCCGAACTAAATGGAACAGAGTCCGCATAAGTCACAGGCATGGTCCTCGGAACCCGGCTTTGAGATCCTGGAGTAATGGTGGCCAGTTGTGGATTTCTCCTGGATAATGTTGCTGAGGTCATTGTTGAGCCAATGTTTCTTTTTCTGCTAGCGCGAATAAATGTTAGTACTCGCCCCCATCATACACAAACATCCGACACCGAAAACACAGCAACTATCAAATGAGAACATGGGTATCCGGGATGTCCGAGCAGACGGGAAGCGGCCAGCAACCAGGGACGTTGGCAGTTTCCAGCCCACTCCGTGGTCAGAGTCGAGTGCTATCAGGTCCGGAAGAACAAGGCAAGTTGTTGGCAAAGTCCATAGGGTCGGCGGGAAAGGAACTCGTTGATATGGCGTGAGGTCCGGGACAACGAAAACAGCGCAAGGCAACAGACTCAGACAGGCGATCAAGTCCACGGGGGCCTGACTTCGATCCGAATGGTCAAGCTTTCTAAATCCGGCGCATTGTAGCAAGTGTCGCGAAGCAGAGTGACAAGCCCAGTCCATCCGGCCACTTCCTAGACGAATCCTCCGAAGAGAAGGACGATAGGAGTTTCAAGCATGAAAAGCATTCATTGTAGTCCTCATCATGGCGAGATCATTAGTTTGTGTCCCAGACACCATGTGGTATGTCGATATTGTCGAATGTAAGTTCTGTCCCAAGGCTTTCAAATGGTCGAGAGCAGTTGCCGAATGTTGTGTGTTGAGATGCACATGACCGGGTATTCCAGGATCAAATAGGAACAGACGAAGTCCGGATAAAGTGTCTTCAACGGCCATTCCATGGGAATCTCCTTGGGCACTAATATTTGTCCGGGATAACAATGGGTCCATCCGGGTATATCCATGGGAAATCTGTTTGGTTCCAAGGGACTTTTGAGACATTTCATTTCATTTCATGCGCACGGGAGCGTGACATAGTCAATGCATCCTCGTAGCACAGAGAACCTTGGGCCAGAAGCCACAAGGGCAGGTTGTTGAGCACATGGGTTGAAATAGTTCAAGTGGGTTGTCGGACTCCTCAGGGCAACAGGTACACGGGACAAGGGAAAAACAAGGAGTTGGCGAAGGGAAAGCGAAAGGAAATCTTGCAGTACCTCAACAACACGCTGCAAAAGCTGGCTTGTGTCAAAACTAGAGTTGTCGGCGCTCGAGTTTCCCGGGTAGTTCTGTTCCTGGCAATGCAGAGAGAGAGAGAGAGAGAAAAGCAAATGAAAGCAATCCCTGGAAAGTCCGGTTTGGATTATCCTGTGGATGATAAATGCAGTTAAATCCTGGTTGGCCAATGGATGGGGTTGCAGTTAGGTCGTCCAATGTGATGTGAGATAAGGCTGATGTTTCTTTGTTCTTTCGATCACGGGTAGTAATGAGGTGGTAGAAGTATGGGAGAAGAAGAGAAACAGAGATCAAAAGGAGGGTGTGAAGGAGTTATAAAGGGGACACCAGCAGAGGCGGTCGAGTTGGCGGAGGAGAGGAAGAGAAATGAGGTGAGAAGAAGTGGGCGAGAAAGTGGGAAATGTGGGCGGTGACCGTGTGCCGGCGCCTGGTATTGGCTGCATTGAGACATTCGGTTGGTCACACAAGAGCCAGTGAACTAGAAACTCATGACACGAAGCCATCAATGGGACCAAGTTGCAGCAATTGTCTTGTCGTAGCTTGATGCAAAGCTGCTGCACGTCCCGCTCCTGCACGTTGCCTTGTTGCACCTGCCATGCCCATTGCCCATCCGCCGACCTGGAACTTGCCAATCCGGTCCGGCGCTAGCCGCTTCGGCTACAGCCAGCTCCCTTCCCAATACCACCTACCATGCCGCGGCCGACGTCATTAGTGGATACGTGTGAGCTATCATTGGCACAACCAGCTGCAAGTGGTGAGGCTGGATCCACTTAGATCAATGTGACTGGTTCCAATCTTCAAACCAACAAATGGGGCCATGATCACCAGGGGCATCTTCATTCGCCTTCCATCAGCTTGGCTCCGCTTTGCTGGTTCTGAGTCTCTGACATGCCGACTCGAAGTCCCCACGGCGCAGCCTCCGACCAGCCCGTGGCTCAACTGTTTCAACTGTTGCGAGTGGTTCAACTGGTTCAACTGGTGTGATGGAAACATGGGTGTATGCAGAGTGCAAGCACACAACAATCTGACGTGGCACTCTCCAAAACCAACAATCTGCTCTTGTGACTCGCACTCGCACTCGCATTGCAGGGACGCCCGTCTTTGCATTTTCAGCACGCAAAGACTCGTCACCAATTATAGGAGAAATAGTGAGAGTACCGTGCATTGACCGAAGAGGGGCGCTGTGTTTGTCTGCTGACACGTCGACGAGGACAATGGCTGGAGCCTGGCGAGACGAGGTCTAGAAAGACCTTTGGGTTACGCAAGGAGAGGAAAACACAGACTTTGTGTAACCATCCCAAGTCCTTGTTCTGCACATATTCAAGGCTACTGGTCGGGAAACAGTGGCCTCACCTTGAACTTGTCCTGGTGGCATCCCTGAGGGACTTTGGTCAGAGTGAATTTTGCACAGAGCAGGACCACAACCTTGCTTCACGTGATATTATATGCACTGTTACGTGGCAGCCTCTTTGTCGCAGCTTCACCGCCACCAGCGGGAATTCTTCATTGGCTCAAGAATTTGCGCTACAAGTGCACACTTCGACGAGGCTTGCAATTGAGAATCTGAAGCCAGTAAATTAATCAAGTATACTTGTAGGTAGACTGACTCTGAACAGATCGACGATGGTTCATGGCGCACAATGATATCACATTCTCGGCTTCGATTCTAGGAGACACGCTGAATCGGAATATTGCCGATACTTACGAGGTACACACCACGAGACTCATAACTACATGTGGAAACACGGGAGAACATCTGTGAGAATCACGGCAAGGTACCTGCGTAGACGATATGATTAGCACAACTATGCCAGCAAATTGTGGGGTGGACAGATAACAAAGTTGGCTGCTGGGCTGAGTTCAGAAGATTGAATGATGGATTGGTTCTCGTTCAAAGACGTTGACGTCTCAGTTGAACTATGCTTTTGGTTGGAGTTTTCATCACAAAGTGACAGTGCTAGGGTCGTGTTTCGAATCTCGGAGAGACGGTACATACCTTTTCGTGCGGACCTCGAGTGAAGTCGAAACACAGGAGCAAGCTCGACAAATTTTCTTTTGACTGTCGTGAAAAGCTGGGTCGTGAGGTAGAAGACAATTTCTCAGCCGCATAATGAGAAGGCCTACCTCTTCTTGAGCAGGTCTCTAGACTCCGTGTCTAATGTTCATAATGGCTTCGTCCGACAGTGCGGGAACGGATCTAAGGTCTGGAAAAATTGTTGGAAAAACGAGTCTTGATCTCACGTGCTGAGAAGTTGGCATGTTGATTAGTATCTTGGCATATTTGCTGGTATTGTGGCGTTTTGCTCGCCCAGGGGCAGTCGTTCCTGATTGGGTGCAGGCACGTTGCACGACGTCGTGCTCAATTGTCCTCACACAGATCCGAGTTTGTCTGCCTTGCAGAGGCCTTGGATGGATTTAAAATCCAGAAGAATTGATGCCATTCTCGCTAGCAGATCTCATACTGAACCGCTCGCAATTATTCGAGCCTCGGCGAGTCTTAATCTTCGAGAACACAACGTTCCAGCACATACCATTAGAAGTCCTTGCAGAGCCCAAATGAACCCGGGAGCGAGCGTGGAAGCCACGATGATGCAGTACAAAGGCAAGAAGTCAAAAGAGTAGCGTCATCGGCAGAGATAGTGCTTGCTGGTGCTGTAGGTACAAGGTCAACAAGGGTCCGCCACACATCGTATGCTACGATCTGTTTTAATTTGATGTATTCCATGCATCTCCTCTATTGTGTTGATTCAGTGGACTGAGATGAATTGGACGGGTGGCAGCCTGCAGCGTCACTCTAAGACTAACACCAATACACTTGTCAAGACACAGAAGCAAAATTTTGCAAAGGCCAAACTGCAACCTCAACCTCGTCGTCCTTGTCCTCCATATCCTCTATATCCCACCTTCCCCTTACACCGAGATCCTCAACAAGAATCCTTCTCAGCGACAAAGCGTTTTTCTGAGAATACACGTGAAAGCAGGGTCCCCGCACGTTGCTCTATCACGGAAGAAGCGAGATCAATTGAAGGTTGGCAGCGTTCCGGAACCGACAGCTTGCACTGCCTGGACAGCCAAGTGCAAGGTCAAGGCTCTGATGATGAGGGGCGCTGCAGGCAAGAACCGAGAAACCGATCGTTACACTTGGTGCTAACACTGTCCGCAGGCAGGGAGAAAATCCCAGTAACCTCGAAGGCACTCGCAAAGCTCTGCTCAACAAATCTGACTGGCTTGGACTCGCCACTTCACGACCATTGAAGCTCCATCAACGTACCCGGGACGACATAGAAGGGATAGGTCGTCGACGCAAGAAAGCACAAGTCAAGCAGGGAATGGTGATGCGCCAAAAGGAATCGAAGCTCAGCGTGTCACGCTCAGTACCGCCCGCTCCCGAGATTTCGTCACTACACACGGACGAGATCAGTCTGAGAATAGGCTCCAATATACATCAGACCCAAACCACCTCCAGCGTCTTTGTTCGCAAAGAGCCTGTCCACACAGAAGAAAGAGCTATACTTGACCTGTCGCCACCCAGAAAGTCTGTTGAAGAAGAGAAAATACGCAACACAGGGGAAGAGACGTGGAGAAAAGAGAGCTCTGACAGTGTCCAAGTCCATACTTGTCGCCCAGGCAGGAGAAATACACCTGATCTCGAATCCGCTAACGAACCAAATCTTGTCGCCCTTAATGAAGCGGTTGCTCTTGGCCTCACGTCCTGGGACAGGGTCCGCAGGCACGCTCGGTCTGCGACCAAGACGAGTGTTTCGATCGCGCACTCGTTGTCCCACGAAGGATGTCCAGCACCTTTAGATTCCGAAGTGGACGTCCACTGTAAGCATGAATCCTGTCAACTTGATGAGGAACTTTCTATTCCTGATGGTTTTGACGGAGACTTCTCGCTGCAACGGACAATACAACCCTTTCCAGACCTAATTCGCCGTGGTATTGCGGTGGGACTTCTGAAAGATGGCATGAGCCAAAGTTCATGTCCATTATCCTTTCCCCAGCAGACTCTACATTCTAGTCAGAGTCATCCTTTAGCTGAAGAAGGGACGGAAGATCCATACGAAAACGATATAGGTCTCGATGCTAAAGTGGTACTGAGCCAAGAGTTTACGTTGGATGACCAAGTGAAACTAGAGCAGACCGTGGAAGGGCTTGAGCGAGAAGATCGGCACCAAGGAGGATCCTCGTCCGCTGCTGACAATGTAGGACAGCGCGATGCGATTGATTCGCTGTGGTTTTTTGACGGCATCAGCACTTCCGCAACTGGTGTCATGATTGATTCTGGGCGTGCGTTTGTCTTCAGTTCAAACGAGGCCGAGTCTGACGCCAGCTATCATCCTGTCGCTATGGATACTGACAAGGAACATCCATCTCGAACAGATGAACTTGCCGACAACATTAGCAGCGAGACAGGGTACCCTGTTACCTGCCAGGGTGTCGAGGAACGCGCCCCCTTGAGTACAGAACACCGCCCCCGTATGACATTCACTCGTCAACGAGGGCAACATGAGGATCAAACAGGTGCTTCTGAAATGACAGTCATGCCAAACGCAGAACGAAGCACCGGTACGAACGATAAAGCTTGGATGAGATATGTTTGTCCAGAGGAGTTTGGTCAGGTACAGGATGGATTCCACTTTCAAGCTGGCACAGTCACACCAACGTCTATCCCTTGTCTGCTCAATGCCACCCCAGGCATCGACAAACCCTGGTGTTCTGACTACAGCAAGCCCAGTCTTTGGGTCGGGCCACAACAACCGGGTCCAGAATGTGGAATTTTTAACTCACCTACTTCCATTCCCAGTGCTGTAAACACATCCATTTTTAAAGCATCCACACCTGGCTGTGAGCATTCGGAGACAGATTTCCTGTCACAACTCAGTCCCATGGAGGGTTGTTTCGATGAAAGACTGGTTGACACATCACTATACAGCAACGCCCCGAGAACGGACCCTGCGATTGACACTAGCCCAATCAGGAGTTTGCACAAGTTTCGAAATACGGGGATCACAGAGGTTCCGAGATCCCTTCTACCGACGAAAAGAAAGGCGTCGGATCCACCTACGGAACGACCATCATCAGATTGGCTTAGACCCACAGATTTGTCGGGGCGAGAAGCGTTGGCGTCAATGTACGGGCTGACCAACGGCTGGCTCTCTGGCGACTTCGTAAGTACGAGTACTGTACAGAACGATAGTGTGACAACAACCATGGGAAGCCCAGCTACAGTATTTCAACACCGGGCCAATAAATCTGGTAATACTCACGCTTCGGTCTTGGAGAGTTTGGAGAAGAATGGCCAGGGATCGAGGAGAGTGGCACACCGAGAGGAGGTCCCTGCCAGCATTTTCAGCAGGAGTGACAAGCTAACGGCAGATATGTCGCCGTCTCTCTCGTGTAGAAGCGCGAGATCGACGAATGGAGATTACGTGCAAGCAACAGCATTTCCGTTGTGGTCTGACGTCTCGACCACTGCATCGACACAGTTTGCCAGCTTGGAACCTACGAATACCCTTCTGTCAGCTTCGATGCCGTCAGTGAGCCAATTGAGGCCTGGTGAAGAAGAGAACCAGGTCGTGGACACGCATGCCACTCGATCACGATATCTTGTTCGAGGAGCCATAGGGATTGCTACTCAGATACCGCTCTGGGGCGAGGGTCAAGGATATGTTTGAAGATGATTGCGATGGCTACGCGAGAGTTGACGGATGATGAGAATTGAGCTGTAACTGTTTTGTATCTTGAGCACCACCTAGAGCTAGCTTTGACTGTAATATCAACAAATGCCTCGGGAGGAGTTCTTGTAATAAACCCTCACACCCGCTTCGTTACCTGGATTGTAGGAGCTGGCTCCAGGAAATCTGCTCAATCTACCATCTCCAATAGCCAGCTTGTTAGGCAGATGTTGACATTCTGCTCTTGTCTTTGTGCATTTCTCGGTGTCCTTCCCTGTTTACAATATTGACCGCCAGTCGAGAAATTCCGGCGAGTATTCGTAATAGGCGAGCGAGTCTGTTAGATCCGCTCGCCCTGTCTATCACTTTCTCGTGCATATGCGAGGTCTGAATCATTCAGGACTCAGGAGTCTGCATAGTGTGTTGATAACGCCTCCGGTCCAGCTTCCATCAGACGTAAATGAATCCATGTCACAGTTGCTTTTCCCATGCCCCAGCCCCTGATTGTTTCTTCCCCGACATGTCTTTTGACCAGTGGATTATACTGTTGTACTTTCACGCGTGGCTCAGCGCAGACGTAGGTAAAATTGGATTCGAAAGGCTCGTTAGCCGGGGGAAGCGCTCGTCTGGAGTGTTCTTGGATCGACAAAGGCAGGAAGAAGGTGTGTGTTTGGTGCAAGGGCGTTTTCGAAGAGATTTGTTGCTGTCGATACCGAAGCGTGTCACGTATTTGTATCGAGTAAGAGAAGCAGGCTCCTTTTTTTCTTCGCCTTCGCTGTTCCGCTCTTTCCCTTTTTGTTCTTTGCAACCGATGAGGTTGGCATTTAGATTGGATAGCCTCCTGGGAAACGAGGGTCGGATCTGCTGCGTGGGGAGCGTGTTGTGGAATGCATTCATCCTCTCTCTCTCGCGCGCGCGCGCGTTGATTCCAATGTCTTAAAGCGTCATGGTCACACATCAAAATATACCAGAATAAATGTGTCGGGATGAGTTCATCGACATGGTCAGAGGGGTCTGTGGTATTCAAGATGCTCGGTGATCTGTTGGGTGTGGTGATCTCGGTTCATTGAGAGGTGTAGTTGCTCGTAGCTTGATGATGGTTCTTCTCATATTGAGGGATAAAGGCTTTCCGACGGGGGAAGGTATACGGTGAGTAGCTGTGGCCAGCAGTGTCAATAACGAAGGGTCTAAGTCTGATTGTAGGAAGTCAGTCCCGTTCCAAGCATCAGTCGCTGATTTCGCAGTGTAGTTAAAGTAAGTCCCTGAAGGGGCGTTGCTGCGCCCGGGCATGTATGACCGGAGCAGCGTTGAATCATCGTCGTCGTCTGGAGAGTCTGGTTCCTCTCAGTCAGTCAATACTCGAGAGCATGAAGAAGCTTGTGGAACACCCGACGATGTTTCATGTCTTCAGTCCTCCTGACGGGGATTCTGTCCAAAGAGAGGAGAACCCGTTCTCACATCAGAATGTGAGAAGACGTCACCATTCTCGAGAGAAACAAAGTTACCAGCCAAATCCTGTGAACTACCCAGACAGCAGCCTGTCTCAAGAGTCAAGAATACTCCAGCGCGTGTACAGTAGGTCCAACTGGTGATTCTCGGGGTGAACTTCCAGCGCAGCAAACTATCAGAACTATCAAACGCGTCTGGCAAATCTCCTGGTCGGGGGACCATTGCCGGTGATTGGGCCGCTGGCCAACCCCCCTCGTACCTGTCGAGGCGAGGGCTGGCTTGCAGCCTTCGTCTGTGGAGGGTCCCTCCCATGTGCATATCACGCACCGACGGGACGAGCTCAGCTCCACTTCCAACCATGGTGTTTCTGTCTCTTTCTCTTTTCATTTCACGTCTCCTAGTTGGAAACACCCCCCAGTCTGCGAGTCGGACGACAAGGGGGTATCCTTCCATGTTGAGTCAACATTCTATCCTTGGGGGGGCTTTGCTCACGACCAAGAACCCGACCACGGTACTGACCGGCCTTTGATTGTTTTGATATTTGTGGGCTTGTCTTGGTTGTCATCTCAGAGGACCCAGCGAGAGACTGTCCAAAAGGGCCCATGAGACTACTGCTGCCTTGGACATCGGTGTTGTCATGTTAGACAGCTCGCCATGTGGGCAGCGGTCACCAGTCCAGACCCGCGGTTTCTTACCTCATCATGGACACCGAACTGAGAGAAAATGGGCTTCGCAGTAGAAGGCTGACATTTTCCTCGGTGATCTGGTATTTTTCTGATACAGATATGTATGTCGAGAGGTCACGGTTGGTATCGATCCGTACTGGGGTAACTTGGTACAAACTGTTTTGAGTTAGTGGCGTTTTCCTTCTGCCGCCAACGAGAAGCAATTCCGCAACAGGTCAGAAATGCCATCGCTTGACCGTGGTGCCACACAAGCACATGTACTGATGAGTAGAGAACAGCTGTCCGGAATGATTGTTTAGCATGGGCACCACCGACCCTTCTAGTCGGCACAGCCCCACATCCGACTAGATGTCTTGAGTCAGAAGATACTCTGTGCCGAATTACTAGGCTCCTGCGAAGGGCGTAAATTTGTCATTCGAACACGAGAAAACAGGTGGCTCGGAATGAGTGTCGGTTTGCTGTGGTCAGAAACGAGAGCACCTTCCCTATGCGTCTTTTAGCCCTACGAGGCATCACGGCGTTGTGTTTGGTGGACTCTGCATGACTAAGTCTGCCCAAGTATGGATGCCGGGCAGGCTGCATTAATAATAATATCCCCATTGGCCTTCGCCGTTTCGGCCTAAAGTGAAACACCGAATTAGCCTGGGAAAGAATTCCAAGCAAGTCATCGCGGGTTTCAGGGTACCGAGCTTGACGACCTGAGAACGAACAGCTGGGATACCCTCAAATGCGGACCAGCTGGGCTCATGCTTCCGGCGGTAGTAGGCAACCGCTCCTACCTCTCCCCGGATCATGTCATCCTAGTAGAGATATAGTTGATGTCTTTGTCATTTGTCGACGGGCCCACAAGCATGCGACAAGGAGATGCGCCGGCTTGGCTACACACCAGCCCAACCAGGACTAATAAAGAGACTATAGAGCCCCCTGTCTAGTACCTTTTTATATCGATCTTACTTGAGCGGTTGAAGACACGAATCAGCATTCGAAGTTTGACAACACTATACGGTTTGAGGACTAGCATGTAATTAGCAGGTGACACACTAATCCGTTTCAGGACTAGGCTGTTGCCCTCTTAAACCCTGGTTACAAGCAGCAAGAGCAACTGCGCCGACGCTAATCCGACCTCAAGTTTTGTTGTAACTGCGTATCATTGACCTCCACCACCCCCCCTTCTTCCCCCCTCGCTCCAGCCTCGTCAGAAAGCTAATTCGAGGCCGGATCTCACACCCATGGGCCATCTGAAGGACCTTGTTACACGCTATCTCCCGGCGAGGGAGGGTTTTGTCGTGCAACCAATCACTATCTCTGGTTGGAATCCCGTCTTGAACTTAGTGAGTTTTCACGGTGTCCACTTTCCCACCTCCACTTGTATATCGCCCTGTATCGAACCGTATTCCTTTCTGTTGGCAGATCCATACCACCCAGACCGAGTCTACTGGTACGAGGTATAACAAAACAGACGACAATCTCCAACGCCGTCCATACCGTGCCCGTTGCCAAGCATTCGTTCGCTGACCGCCGCCACACAACATCGTGACAGCATCGACAGATCCATCCCCCTGGATGCGTGGTCGTGACATCGCCCCCAGGGTCTTTTTGTCCTGGGTGAGCGGCTCAATCTTGTCGAACGTCTAGCGACTTCCTTATTCGACAAAGGACGGTCAAAACATACACGCTTATCTAACTGGGTTTTTGGGGGTCCCCTGCTGGTGGACACCGCTTAAGCGAGGCCAGGCACTGCCCAATGTAGCCAACGTTCTCGGGATCATGCTATGCTAGACAGTAGGCCGGCCACTATCAACTGTCTCGTACATGATGAAGACGCCCCTGGCTTCTTTAATGCACCTGTGGTCTTTCATATCAGGGCGTCGAAGATCATCTATGCACCTTCGGCCACCCCTAACCGTCAAACGGATACGAAAACGAAAATCTACCAGTTTTTCTGATTGGCGTAACCAACCATTCGAGAGCCCGAGAGACAGCCAAAATACTCCGAGACTCCCCCCAAGCCCTTTGATGGTGGCAGCTGCACAACCGTGATCGAATGAACAATCTCCACAAGCGACAATGGCTGTCCTTGACCAAACTCCAGCCCAGTTCGAGTTCGCTACATTCAATAGTGTCAAAGTCGGCACCCCCGGAGCGGCATCAAACAAAGCTCCCTTTCTATTCATTGTCAAAACCCCTGCCTCCGGTGCATTGTCCCGCTCGACTACCCGAAGCGCTGCAGCGAGCATCAATAGTCACGCCCAGCGGTGGGCTCAAGAGGTAGCCTCTTCCAAGGCAGTCGGGGGGAGTAGCACTCAACGCCAGACAGACACACTGCTCTTCGAACAATGCTTGACCAAGTGTCGAGTGTCTCGGCTCTTGGACGACCCGACTAAACCATCCAAGGGGAGACGCTCGGCCAATGCGAAGCAAACAACTCACATCCCGACGAGACGGGTCAGGAAAACGAAGCGCGGTGTTTCTGAAAGCCGCAGTCCCAGAACTGACAAGGGTTCGTCCGCAAGTCCGGAAGCCGAGTCTCGACGGCAGCAAGATTTCAGTGAGGACGAGTATCTCGACAATGAGGCGGTTCAATCACTACTGGGCCCTTCGCCGGGACCTTCGCAGAAATCTGTGGTTGACCCCTTTGATTACACGGCTGGTACGATAGACAGCGACGCCCTGCCCATACTCCAGTATTATCTTTCATTCGCCCTCCTCTCCACACCCCAAAGGGACGATGGCCGGGGACCTCGAGACACGGCACTTGGCCAATACTTCTCCAGCATTCACGCCATTATCCAAGGTTGCATGCAGAAAAACGTCCACATGTACGCCCTCTTGGCTGCCACAGCTAGCCGCATGAGACGAGTCTCGGGCATTTCCTTCCACGCCGACAACGGGCCTGAATTGTATCTGCACAAGGCTCTTCATTGCCTGCGGTTGCTGCTTGACAGCCAGTCGGCTGCCGAGGACCGGCAGATCATCCTTGACATTTACTACCTAAGCGTGTGTGGGTGGTACATGGGCAACTACGAAGAGTCGAAAACCCACTTCAACATCCTCAAGCATTTCTGGAAGACGTTGACGCCCCAGCAATCTACGCTCGACCAATACATTTATGATCTGTTGAGTCACAACGCCGTTTTCCTGGGCTCCGACGTGGCGGATCCTGCCAAGTCAGCGACGACACCAGAACTCCTCTGTCCTTCCGTGAGCAGTGAAAAGGTCTCCAAATCCTTGAGCTTGCAATCCAACCGAGTCTCTTCGTTTCAGCACTGTTCAGCCTTCCCGGAAGCACTTGAACAGAGCACTTATAGCCCTGAACTGAAGCATGTGGTACGGGAGCTGCCTTCGCTCCTGCGGCTCTTTGATCATTTCCACCAATACCCCGACTTTATCGGTCCTGAGGTAGATTGGGTGCTTAGCAAGAGCAAATTCTTGATACTCCGCCTGCTGGAAAACCCAAGCTACGGCGTCGAGCTCTGCTGTCGTTTGGCGTTGGTGTTGCTTCTCCAATACGTCTCCCAGACGACTCTGGCCAAATTCCACTGCACCGACGAATCCATATACTCTTCTTCGGCTCCTGAAAAGGGGCCGATAACTGACGCGGCCGTAATCAGCAAGCACCTCAAACGCCAGCTCCAGTACGAAATCCTCCAGCCATCAATCAAATCCCCTTCCGGCCTTGACAACGCATCACGGGCTAGCGGCGAGACCCATGTGGCCTGGTCAGGGAAATCCGACCACCTCCTCCTCTGGATCGTGATCACGGGCTTCATTGGGGCGCGCAACACGGATCAAAAAGACGAATGCCGATGGTTCCGGACGCGCACCGTGTCGTTGATGAGAGTCCTTGGCATTGGGACTACGAAGCTGTTGAAAGACTTGATGAAGTCGTTTGTGTGGGCAGGGGGGATGCTGGATGACGAGGCGTTGGAGGAGCTGGTCAGGTTGGGCTCAGGGGATGATGGGGAATGACGGGGACGAGAGGCGCTGCTTGTTGGGTAACGTCGGCCTACGAGTAGGTACAAGAACAATCAACAAGGGGCATTCTACACGGGTAACATGGTTATCCATCTATCATCTATCACGGCGCAAAGAGAGGCATAGCATAGCAGGGCATAGCATGGTAGGGTAGGGCAGGACAGGGCACGTCAGGGGAAGTCAGCCGGGCCGGGTGTGGGGGTCGGGGTCAGGGTCGGGATCGGAGGGCCTTGGTGGGTGGGGGGCGTTTTATCGGGAGAAGCTTAAAAAGTTGATCATCAGCATGCATGGGCATATACAGTACAAGGACCTTCTAGAGTCGTGTGTAGACTGTCGATGTTTGTTTACAATACCCAGTCAGGTGTCTATCCATCTATCCACCTACCCATTTATTCCCATCATATTATTCACACCATCAATATCGTTCAAGTGGTGGTGGTGGTGCTGCTGCTGCGTCCTCGGCCGGCACACGGGAACTGAAAATAGTACATGTATCCAAACGCCAATCAACTGTCGTGAGGCCTCAAGTAGCTGTTGCGGCCGAGTGTGAACCCCGTACATCGCCAGGCGCCCCCGGGATTTTGCAGGTCCGAGGGTTCCAGACAAACGCTGGATGTCGAGTCGTGGTCGAGTTGTCTTTGTACTCGCAGAGTACCGTGTGGTCGATGACTTTGTTCTTCCACATACATACATACCTGATATGGAGGAGCGGGTATCGTACGGTATGGTACGGTTGACTACCAGACTGCCTAGCTCGCTAGGTCTCCCGTGCGTGCGCATGAGCAATGTACTCGGTATTATACATGTGTGTGGTATTACTACTCGCATGTCCGGGAGAATGTTTCCGTCCGAGTTTGCGCCAGACATCTTTTCGCTAAGATCCATATCCTGGTGGCCTGTATACAAAAGTCATTTGCTCCAACTAATGACAATCCCCTGCTTTTTGTGCGGTAACCACTTAGCCAAACTCCAGCATGAGACACAACTTTGGATTCTAGTCCATCCATCTTGGTACAATGCTCTTCAAGTATAGGGTTGATTCCGTCGACATCCACCATGCATGGCCTTGGGGGTCGGTGAGATCGCAACCCCCCAAGCATCTCATCTCTTCGCATGGATCCCCGTTGGCTGCTTCAGCGACTCGTCTCCTTGTATGTGTTCAGTATTGACACTGGCAAGACGGTCGATCCCGCTGGAACCATCGAATCCAACTCTTTAATGCGTTTGTGTCAGCAGAGCGTGACATGGTGCTCGTCTCATCAGCTTGTGACCGGCGACGTCGCTATTCGGTATCAGTTGGTAGCAGCAGCCCGTATCCGGTTGGTCCAGCGACGTGCTGCAAATCATATCCTCTTGTAAAAGTCAAGAGTCAGGGGTAACCTTTTTTTTTTTCCTTTGGCTCACGCGTGATGTCCTGTATATCCAAAATTCCTTTTCCCAAGTCTCTTAAGTTTCCCTCTCCAGTTTTCCTTCCATAGAATAAATAGTACAGTGGTAAGACAGAGTTCACAGCCTCTCACCCAATCGAGTTGTAAACGTTTCATATCCGCATGTCATCCTGCTCGTCCCTGTTTCCACGAAAATGTCTCATCTTCAGAGTGCGAATTCCGGCTCCACCCCGGCCGCCACCGACTGCCCCTGTCGTTCCACGGTGTTCAAGCTTGCTGAATGGCCCCCTTCGCCTGAGTTTGCTACCTCGTCGACGCTCCTTCATCCGTTCTTGCGCTCTCGTGCTCCACTGGGGCGTTTCGGTAGCATATGTATGGTCACCCTTTCTGTCGCCGGTGAAAAATGTGAGCACTGCATCAGCACCTGATGCCCTTCGTTGGCGTGCCTGCGACTGGTTTGGAACACGGGGCTCACCATGGCCCTTGCCTTTTGCCGACGAGTCAGGCTTCCGGGCCCACGACGGGTCTTCATAGATAGTGCCGCTACGGTTGAAGTTGAAGACACTAAGATCGGTGTTGCTCCGCCGAGGCAATGCTGAATTGGGATCGATACCATTTGCAATCATGTTCTTCTTGAGCAAACGGAGCAAACTCTCGCAAAGCCGGTCCAGGATCCACTCAGCCTCGCTCTGCTCACTCAGCATAGGACTGTTCTCCTCGAGCCAGTCCCATTCAACCACTCCGTCCGTTTCCTCGTCATATTCCATTTGATCGAGGCCCACTTTGGTGAACCGAATCAAACGGCTGTATTCACACCACTCTTCATAGGTGTAGCGTTTCCCTGGGGCATGTTGGAGATCGTCGGCGGTCTTGCGAATGGCCCAAGCTAGACGCTGTGTCAGTTCCGCCTCGGTCGGTTCCTCCGCGGCCAGCTGTTCAATGCTCAAGTCAGGACGAGCTTCGTCGGGGGCCGGACCGAAAGGCATCCCCGCCTTCAGACGTTTCTTCTCAGCCCTTCTGTTCATCCAGTTCCAGAGCCAAGGATGCTGCATGACAATGTCGCGCCAAAGACCTGCCTTTGGAAGGACAGTCAAGTCGCCAAGTTTAAAGGTTCCCTGCTTGAAACTCGAGATGACAGTGTCACCCATGTCGGAAATGAGGATGGTCATGGTCGGCACAGCGATCAACGACCATACCACGAAGAACGGCTTGCCAGCGTTGCTCTTGGGACTCAAATCGCCATAGCCAATGGTCAGCAAGCTGACATAGCAGAAGTACAAAGCCTGAAAGTAGCTGAGATGTTGGGTGTTGTGCTCGGCGATCCAAAACACCACTGCTCCGATGCACCACAGAATGCCGAATGCTATCACCGACAGACACAATGCGTACCACTTTTTGAACTTTTTCGCGTTAAGCTGAATATTCCGCATGGCATTAAATTTGTCCTTCTCTTCTTTCATCAAGATGGCCTTATTCTGCGATTTCGAGCCTCTCAAGGGTTTTGTGATGAAATGGAAGGTGCTGCGGATGGGACCTCTGTGTATCGCCGAGCTCAGGAACTGCCTGGGGTGCGGCTTAGGCTCCTCTGCCTTCTTCAGCTCCGAAGCATTGGTGTTACCAAAGTCGATGTGGCGATCCTGAGTGGAATCTCGAATGGTGGTTCCGTCGAGACGCGCTGCTGCTTCATCCAAGTCATGCTGGATCTGCGGATTTGGCAAGGGAGATGAAATCTGTGGCCGTCGACCGCTTCTTTCCTCCACTGCCACCTCTCTCTCTAGGTCATCTCGTCTCTTGTCATCTTCGCCATCGTTCACCGTCACAACCCGCGATAGGGTGTGGACCCTTTTTCGTTCGACATGTTTACGGAGTACGTTGATTGTACTAAGCTCACCAGCGAACTTGTGGATGGAGCTGACCATCAAACCCAGAATGATAATCCCGCCTACCGAGTAGGGAAACACTAGTCCCCGAGCAAGGTCGTTGGTGGGATAAAAGTCTCCAAACCCGACGGTCAGGATAGTGACGTCGCAGAAATACACGGCATCTGGATACGTCCAACCTTCGATTCTCGAGTAGACGCCGCCGCCGCCACCCAGCCATACAAAGAACATCATTGTCTGGAGAATCAAATTGCGCTGCTCGTCGGTCAGGGTAAAGTGTTGAGGATAGTGGCCCAGGAAATAGCCACACATATTCACCATCAAAATCATCGAGTTGAACATGTAGAGGCAGGCGGCAATGACGGCGTTCCAATAGCCTTGGGAATAAACTTCATCTTGGCCAGGCGGGACATGAAGCTTCATCGACACGGTCAGACCGATCAGTATACCTGAGGCGATGTAGAAGAGCACAATGGTCGCAGGGAGAGCGACAATGTATCGGACGCGTCGAGTGAAATTGAAGAGAAGGAAAAGGTTGCCTACGAATCCACAGACGAGAGAGGCAATATTGAGGTCGACACACCATCGAGGATCGCTGTAGCCCACGGAAGTGGACTGATAGGTCAGAGGAAACTCGGTCTTGCTTTGGGTGAGTCTATTCCTCCAAGGAACGACCAGGGCGGTGATGGATATCAAATTAGCCATGGGCGCAAAGGTGGCCGCGATCAGCGGGATGGCGGTGGAGGCAAACCACCAGTTGGTGGGCAGGTCGTCGTCAACAGACCTAAACTTGAGTATGCCATGGTGGTGTGCCTGCCAGCTCGGTTGAGGTTCCAGCTTGTTTTTGCCGTGTCTGGCCTCGTTGTCTGGCAGTGTCCTTATGGTGTCCGTCTTTTCAAAAGGCTCCCAACCTTTCTGTTTCTCATATTCGGTCGTACTCTCCGAGGCACCTGAGCTGGAACTTGACGGGACCTCCGGTGGCTCCAGCTCTTTTTGTTCGGCATGGTCGCAGCCTACCATTGTCTGCGAACGTTATGGAGGGCCTCATGGGCGATCAAGGTGCATTGTAGGCAGGAAGCGGTGGTCCGGGTGGTTCTAATGGAGAGAAAGAGGCTCGCTCACCCGAGGAGCGCGCGAATCCGTCTAATCTGTCGAGTTTGCCAGTTATTTGTGCCCGTGTCAGCGGTGTAGTCTAAACCTCTGAGCGCGCAACACAAAAAGCAGTTCAGAGCGAGGTAGTAGAGCAGGAGACATCGCGGAGGCTGATGGAAACAGCCCGAGCCAGGAAACACATTCTTTTAGCCTCAACAAGGGCCGTTGGCAAGGGTGTGAGTGGGAAGCCATGGGCAGCTGATGGTCGATGCGAGTCAAATATGGGAAATGGGAAGACCCAAGCGGCGTGCGGCGGGAAGTATCTTGGTTGGGTGTACCGAATAGTAGTGCCCGCCAGCCTGGTGACCCCCCAAGCTCGCCCAAGCCACGCCCAATTTCGCACCCAATGCCCATCAAGCTTTGCGGGGCCCAGCTGCACACAAGTGCCCAGTGAGGCTAGTGATGCTTGCTGAATGAGCATCCCGCACCCGACATCGTCATCTTTCATGCATATCCTTTCGCCTCTTCTTGACTAAAACGCCCTTGGAGATCTACCAAATCGAGGAAAACGTTTCTTGTTTCGCCCAGACAAGGTGACAAGCCACACACACAGCACCTCCCCTGATAACGCTTTCCCGTCGAGTAATAGGGTGCCATGCTTGTGACAGACAAGACAAGTCCCGTCCTTCCGTGCCCCTCTGGCCTCCTTTCTCACCAAACGGTGATGGTCTAGAACTAAACACCATATCCTCCTCGAATCACCCGCCTGTACCGAACTCGTGCTCCAAGCTGTTCTTATCTTTTGAAACCCATGTCGAAGTTGCTTGTTCCCGGATGTCGCCCTCTACATGGACCAACAATGGCCTGTGGTGCGAGTCGAGATCCAAAACAAAGGCATGGATGATGGTATCCACCATATATAGGTGTTGGGAGCTTCGTCCAGACAAAGATGAGAGGAACAGACACCAACAAGGCCGGAATTGAATCATCCTCGATTTAGACAACAAGAGATATAGTCACAACCCTGATTGTCATTCGACCTATTGATGATGATACATGGTACCTCACCAGACACCCATACTCACACATACAGTTTGAGAAACTCCAAACGAATGCCTTATATCCTGGATAGCTCTGCTACATATAGTTGTACATCTCCAATACACATTTCCACTAATTTACATTCTCACAGAAATCGCTCAGAAGCAAAGCCCGGGGATATCAAGAAGTAGAAGACAAATATCCAGCTAGCTGAAATCGTCCAAAATCGCCGAGAATAGAAAGGAGCGCAAGGAAAGCGAAAGCTGAATCATACCAGTCGTTGAATATGTTACAGGTGAAGATGGAAAAGGTCAGTCTCATCGCGCCGTGATGGTTCTTCGGTTGTCGCGCTCAAATTTCCTGATTTCATCCTCGCCTTCCCGCCCCGCAAGTTGATGATCCATCAAATGTCATACTCCTACCGTACATCGCGGTAACTCGTGGGTGGATAACCCGCGCTGGTCGGGTACGAGGAGTAGCCCGAGTCTCTGTTCGCTGAATTTGACGATTCCCTCATCATCTGCGGAGGTGGAGGTGGAGGTTGAAAGCCGGTGCTGATCGAGGAAGGTGGACTGTGCCCATTGTAGGGAGGACCCGCGCTAGGGTGCACGCGGTTCAGGTAATAGTCTTCATCCGCAGCACCACCAGGGAGAGAACTGGAATACAACGCCGATCCTGCAGCAGTGCGCAGGGTTGGACTTCGTGGGCCATCGACAAAGCCTAAGCCAACATTTGAAACTGATTGCATACGTGGTCGGTTATCTCGGTCCCGGTCACGGTCTCGTTCACGGTCGCGGGGGTCGTATGCTGACATCCTGGCCGCGTCGTAGCGGTCGTTGGCCAGACGTTCGCGACCAGCTTCATAGTCCCTGTACCGTCTTACATCTTCGTGGTGGTCAGAATGATGGGAAGAAGACATATAGGAAGCGTCTGAATCCCCCCTCCTCATGTGCGAAGAGTTGCCAGTTTCTTTCGTCATGGATGGTGACCGATTACGGCCCGAAGGGGGAGGGTCTCTGTGATAGATACTGTTGGAGCGATGACGGCGAGACTCTTGAATTTCCGACACGGGTGGTGGTGGTCTTTGATGAAGAGCGATTGGTGGCTGTCCCGATCTCGAGCTATCGTTTACCTTGCTAGATCCATTGAGAGAGCTTGAACGCCCGAGCTTGGGTACTGGTGGTGGGGGAGGTCCTGGCTTAGTCTCGGATGCGGCGACTGGTCGGTCGATATTATTGTAACTCTTTCCTCCACCAGGCGCAGCGACGTATGGCTTTCGCTCTCGCTCAATCGGTTGCGACACGAGAGTGGCGTTAGCACTTTCCTCATCAAAGTCACCATTGACACTCTCTTGGTGCGTCGTACCATACGGCTGCCGTTGGCGCTCAATGCCAGCCTGAGACAACGCTGGACTGGGTTGGACATTGTTGCCGACACCGTCGCCTTTGTCCAGTCTGTCTATTTGGGGCTTCAAATTCGCCCTGCTGGACGAATCGTCAACCACGACAGTCGCTGTTGATGTCGACGTCGACGTCGAAGCCCGCGAAGTGGAGTCCGTTGTGCTGCTGTGGCGAGATGCAAAGCTGATATTGCAATGAGCTGACATGGCCTTCTGTAGCTTATAGGCAACTTCAGTGTCACCGTGCTTGGGGAAGAGCCGTCTGGAGAGTTCTTTTGGAAACCTCTCTTTCTTCTCATCAGGGTTGCTGATGGGCATGTCTAGCGCCGTCTTTGCCAATCGCTCATACTCTTGGTCGGGATGTGCTCTTAAGAGCAATGTCGCCCAGGCTTCAAAGCCACGTGGTGTAAGTCCAGGGGTGTCCGGCCGCTCATTCAACTTCTCTTGAACAAGATGGTGCTGGCATTCGATCTCTCTGAACATTCGGGATATCGAGGAAGTTCTATCATCAAATATGATCTTCCAAGGATAGATCTCATTGCTCAGCTTTGTCTCCTCGTAGTATCTTTGCAATTTGGTGGGGGTGATGACCAAACTGTGCTTGGGTTCATAATCTTCAATAAGATGGGTGGCAATTCCACGTAGGAATTGGCCTAGTCGAGGAGTAGCTTCGCCTTGTTCCGTGAAGAGTTGTCCCCATACTCGTTCCACTATAGTTGCATCTTCATGGGTACCCATGCGTTTGGGACCTCTCGGTCGAGTCTGGCTTGCGTCGTTCTCGGACTGATGACCGGTCTGACTCAGAGGCGAGGCCGCTCTCCTATCTGTACCTGGCGACGGGGCCCGGAATGATGATTGACTCGAAGGCGGAGGAAACTGAGGCGAGGCCTGACTTGCGTTTGCATCCTCGGAGTATCGGTTGGGAGTAGGGGGAGTGTAGACAGTCGCTCGATCCAATGGCGGAGAGCCAGCGACAGATGAAGAGGTATCCATCTGAGATGTCGAGGGCGGTGGTTGGTGAATAGGAGGTTGCGGTGGAGGTAGATTGGTGACTTTCAATTGCTGCAAAACATTCGCCGTAATCTGCGATGTGATCTGTTGGAGCAGGTCCGGAGAGAAACCACCATAAGAAGCGGCATCAGCGTCGTTGAAGGCTGAAGTGACAGCATCAGTTATAGGCTGGCGAGCTTGGTGATATCTGGATGATTCAAGATTGTTTGGTGCGTGTTGAGAAGTCGATGACGCCCCGGATAGCCTGCGGTGGCGCCCATCCTCAACTGTTGAATTGCTCATAGTTGGATGAAGTCGCCCCGTGTCTCCCTCGTCACTCGGAACAGAAACGCTGGGCTGTGCTGGTAGACGTTCATTGTAGGAGGCCATTGTGCGAGGGAGGCACGGTCCCGTTCCAAGACCTGGTTTCCGTTCCTCAAAGCATTCAGATGACCTTGTTCAACAGGTTTGTGGGAGTATGTTTTCCAAATCGATTGAGAAAGAGCCAGGGGATTTGGAAGCTTTCAACAGCTTCACCAATGATAGACTATATGGGATTCGCGTTCTGACCAGCTTCAAGGCGGTTGCGGTCGCTCGACTGGGTGGATATGCAGAATCCAGCCTGCGAGCCCACTAACAGACCGGTCAAGGTGGGACGAGAAGAGAGGCAGGCGGACGTCAATTGTAAAAGGACAAGGGCGTTACGTGCTCGTCAGTGGGGGGAAGGAGGCAGAAGTGCTGCTGCTGAGGCCGAGTCTGGCGTTGGGGGAGGGTTCGGCGTTATGGAGAGGATGTAGGTCGTGCTTCGCTTCTTGGTCTGTGGTGTGAAAGCAGCCTAGAATCTGCGTGTTGTCAAGTCCTTTCCTCTCTTCTTCTGTTCTTTGTCCGTCGAGAGAATACGAGAACTGTTCAGAGGGTGCGTTTCAAGGCGTCGGAGAAGATGGCAGTACGATCATGAGGTGGAGATGTTTAAGGATTCAAAATGAGGTACGACTCAGAGAAAGCGAGCCGAGACCAAGCCTCGAGGAGACCGTGGCATGGGCATACCCAGACGACTACTGATACTTCGTAACAGGTGTGGCTAGAGAAAGGGTCGACGCTTAACTGTGACAGTCAATGATGCGCGAAGTGGTGTGTTGCATCATGGGCAGCGCAATACTATTCCAGCTGGTTCACAACCGGTGAAAGGGGATTGGCGGGATGCTCCATCCAGATAGGTGGGAGTAGACCACTAGTAGGGCGTCCCTGGGGCCTAGTGAGCCCCTTGGCCTCGGGAGCCACGCAGAAAGATGGGTGGTTCACAGTGGCTGTACGAGTACCCAAGGTGGCAGAAGAGGCCCCCAAAATCTTGGTTCCAGCCCGCCATCACTGTTCTCTCGCCCAGCAACCCCACCACTCAACAGCTCGTCATCGTACTTTTTCCAATGAACCTCCCCTTCTTCCGAGGTTCGCCTAGCCACGAGCCGTGATGCATTCCTTACGCACAAAATCTGGTTTT